CCTGAACAAGCTCAGCGAAGCAGTGAGGAAATAATTAAATGCTGAAGGCATTCCCACGTGGGTGTCCTTGCTGGTCTTTGCAGGTCTTTGCTCTTCAGCTGGGATTCCCCTTCCTCCTTACATCCATGGCTTCGCTTTCACCATGTCTCTGCCAGCCCTTGCTGCTTTGGGGTTGGAGTAGGGCCAAGGTGCTTGCTGTGGCTGGCTGGTTTTCCTCTATCCTCCAGGCTCGCTCGGTTATTTTTATTTATATTTGGGCATATAATGTCAGAAAGCATCATCAGAGACACGTGGCTGTCCTCCAGGTCGATCCAGGACTCGGACAAAAGCCAAGCCTGGAAAATCCAACCTCTGCTTGTTGCGGCTCCGAGCAGGGAGCTGGGAGCGAGCGGTGGGACCGGCCGGCAGCAATTCCCGAGGGAAGAGAGAAAATTAAATTTTAAAAAAAAAGAAAAAGCATTGGAAATGCTCAATTACAGTACTCGGGCTCCTGCTCGGAGCTGTCGCATGCACTCACGCCGGGGAGGTTAACTGCTCTTTGACATCATTTTGCTACATGGAAAATTCCAATTACACGGAGCCTGCCAAGGGCCGCGGCACAAACGGCAGCTCCGGGCTGCGGTGCTTCGTGGGGCAGTTTGTCAAGTGCTGTTGTCACCCTTCGAGCGGTGTCACCGAACTCCCGAGGCATCGAGTGGCTGCAGATTTCAAGCTCTTCCTTCCTTTTTTTTTTTTTTTTTTTTCCAAAACAAAGAGTTTTTCCAAAACAAGGGCCATTGGCTTGGAAACCACGAGCTCAAGTGTCAGCTTCTGCTGACGGATCCCATGATGCTTCACCTCCCCGATCTCAGCTCCTGCCAGCTCATGCTCTGCTTCCAGATCTCCTGCCTGACGTTAACTAGAACCGCGACGCTGCTGCTTGGCTGCTCCAGGAGGGGAATTTTGCAGCTTTTCAACTTCCTTGCGTGAATTCTTCCCTTCGCACGTTTCACAGTTCTTTCATTCGTGGCGTTTCCCGTTTGGGCTTTGGCAGAAGGAGGGACCTGGCCGGTAACAGGACCTGTCTGCTGAAAAAGTCCCTGCAGCTGGGCAAGCCTGAGCAGACGCAGAGGACAAAGCGTCGGGGAGTGGTGGCAGCAAGGGGGAAGATGCTGCAGGACAGCCGGCCCTGCAGATGCTCGCTGAGCCCAAAATGCCACGTGCATTTTATTTTGCACCAGCAAAACAATGCCTCCAAACCAGGAAGGAGCAAGACAAGAAGAAAAAGTCAACAATGATGGAGAGGGAGCCAAAATGGGGTTGGGGAGAAGGGATGTGGAACAAAACGCAACCTTTAGGTCATTTATATCTAGGCTGGACCATACCGGGACGGCGCACGCTGCAGGGACAAGTCTTTTCCTCACCCCTTCAATCCATCCCAGCTGTTTTGCTGCCTCTTAAATAGCCGTGATTTCAGAGATGCCGTCCCATTCTTGCTCTGGAGGCACTTTTACTCCTGCCAGCACCACAGCAGCTTGGCTTTGGGATGGGTGTCCCTCTGAGCACCTCTTCGTGCCGTGCCTGGATGGATGTTAGCGACCGATGCCCACAGTCCTATTCATGTTGTGATAGGTCCTAGGGAGCAGATATATCCAAAATCCTAGAGAGCCTCCATCTCTAGGAGTTCCTTGCTTCCCCACAAGCATTTTGCTGCCGGGAAGAAACGATAAAACAGCATCAAAAAGCCTTGGTTTGGGCTGTTTGCAGCTTTGGAGACAAAAAGGCGCAAGCACCGCTCTGTGCATTGGCTAAATTTCCCCCGTTATTATTCCCACACACACATGATGCTCGGCTGCATTGTCCTCCAGGTTTTAACGCCGGGGAGCTGGAATTTTTAAGGCTGCTTCCATCTGCAGCCAATTATAAAAAAAAGCCATCAAAAAAAAGCTGTTTACAGGCTGTCAGCTCGGAGCGGCGTCGGAAAGCAGCCCCGCCACCTCCAGCGAGAAGTCGCGGGTAAGAGGTGCATGAAGGCAGCCTGACATCGATCCAGCCTGTTAATCCTGCACCCCGGAGCTCTAACAGCTCCAGCAGAGCGAGATGCTTGGCTTTTGGGGCTCAGTTTGGGCTTTCGAGGCTCCCTTTTCCCCAGAAGGGGAATTCCCTGCTGGCACAGCAGGCGAGGAGCCGCACTCTCTTGTCTCCGGAGAGAAGGATGCGAGCCCAAGGGATGGGAAGAGAAGGGCAAGGATGCACCAGGGGTTTTCTCTCTTGCCCAGCCGCCGTTCCCCGTGTCACCTGCTGTCCCCTGGCACCGGAGCAGAAGGGCTGGAGCGGAGGGCGCGAGACGAGCCCGGAGATATTTGAGAAGTTCAACCTGGGCAGGACCCCGCCGGTGGAGCGGAGCCGGGAATGCCAAGCTGGACGGGACCACTGCTCCCCCCGTGGGGTCAGTGGGAGCTCGCCGGTCGGCCCAGTAACCCAGCTTCACCTTCCTCCCTCCCTCCCCAACCTCCTGCCAAGGGCGGTGATGGAAAATGTTCATTAACGGCATTCCCGGGGCTGAGCGAGGCTCTTCCACCGGCTCTGCCAGTTGCTGCCTCCTCCTTTGCCAGGTCCGGGCTAAAGAAGGCAGCGCTCTGCAGATAACCCTTCTTGCCGGACCCCTTCCCGCTGTGTGATGGGGCCGGGGGCCATTTAAGGCTTTTCGGGTGCTGAGCAGCACCTCGAATTTCACCCAGGGCTCCCTGGCAGCCAGGGAGGAGTCCCGGCCGCGGGGCTGCCAGCGGGCACCAGTGCCATGGTCGGGCACCGCTGCTGCAGGCTGCAGGGGAAACCCCAGAACAGGGAGATGGTAGAAGGGGTTGGAACACCAGAAGCACCCCCTGGGGCTCGTCCCCATCCCATATCCATGGGGTGACCCCGCTCCATGGGGTGTCCCCACCGTGGTGGCATCACCCGGGCGCCCGACGCAGCCGCCGGCTTTCTCCCCGGGGGCATTTTGGGGGGGTGCTCCGGGTTTTCTCTTGCCTGGAGAAAGGAGCCAGATGCTTTTTCTCTTTTTATGGCCCAACCTGCCCGTTGGCGGGGGTCCCGCGGGGTATAATTAGCCACCCCGACAGGTGGAAGGGATCGGGTGGCTCCTGCCACCCCGCAGCCCCAGCGCTGCTTCACCCCGGCCGACACGCGGCGAGCAGCTTTACAGTAACCCCAACCCTCGCCTTCGCCTGCCTTTAGGGCACGGGGGGCATGAAGAAAAGAGCTCCCCCTTCCCTCCCATAAATAAATAGAGGGGGCTTTTCCACTCTCTCTTTCGAGCCTGGAGCCGAGGAGCTGCTTCCCCAGGACCCCGCGAGCTGCAAGCAATTCCCTGCCTCTCCCTGCAGCCCCGTGAGCCCAAGCGTGTTTGGCACGGAGAGCAGCGAGGAAAAGTCATTAGAAAACCGAGCCGGGGCCCCGAATTAGTCGCGAGCGGTTTGTTTTCTTAATACTAAGTCTGCCCTTCGCCGGGGAGCCAGCGAGCAGCTGGGGATGCTCCCGCTCCCACCGCAAGGTGTTAACAGGGGATGGGGACGCACGTGGCACTGTCCCTTGGCCCCTCCAAGCTGATATGGGATGAAACAGCCACGTTTCCTGGCTTTTTCCCAAATCTGTGGTGTTCTCCGTCATCCCTCGGTGTAGGGGCAGCAGTGCCAAGTGCATCCACGTGGTCCTTTGAGGTGAGGACTCCTTTTCGCTGCCCTTCTCTTTCCCACATCTGGTTTTGCGTTGGACGTCACCCGGGTTGAGGGGTTTTGCTCTCAGATCCTAACATTTTGGGAAAAAATGACCCGAAAGCTGTCCTCTTGGTGCCTTTTCCAAGCACTTGCTGGTGGTCCACGACTTCGGCAGCCGGAGGGTTTTGTTGGGAGGAAGGCAGGGAGAAAAGGAAAGCTGTTTCCCCAAACTTCCCTCGATTTAAGCACGTGTTTTCTCGATTTGCTGAGATATTGGCTGCTTAACCAGGGTGAGAGAAGCTTTGGGTGCTGGAGGAGGTGATTTTCATGCGCTCAAAAGATAAGATTTAATGATCCTACCAGCTCCTGAGAGCTGGCACCAAGCACGGAGTGGATTTTGCCCAGTTGTGTGCTTCTCCAGCACCCATCCATGGGCAAAAAGAGGATTTTATTTAAAAAAATAGAGCAGTGCTAAACTCTGGGCACTATTTGGAGAAGCTCAACTTTCGGATTACGCATTGGGTTAGCGATTTACTTGCTGCAACCTCATGGCAGCTCATAGAAATAGAGGAGGGGAGCGCAGGGAGATGTTTCTATGAATTTTCCACGTCTGGCTTGATCCCTGCTGGGTTTTTCCCCGGTTCTTCCACCCCTGCAGAGCCGGTGTCCGTGTGTCTGTCCAGATCCCAGCCCTCCTGCCGCGTTGGCGACCTCCCCGGCCTCCAGCAGACGAGCTCCTCGCTCCGCCGCCGACGTCGGCGTTCCCCTGGGGCCACCGAGTTGCCGACCCCGCTGCCCTTTCGAGCAGGGACCCCTCGGTCCGCCACCGCTCCGGCGGCTCAGCGGGGCTGCCACCACGTCCCCGAGGTCACCGCAGGGGGCTGGTCCCAAATGGCTTCACTTTGAGGGTATTCAAAGGGCAGGAGCCCTGTGATCCGTGATTTTGCCCCGCAACCCCTCGCCGTGTTTCTCTACCCATGGATTTGTTTGCTTTTCCCCCAAACCTGGGCAAAATTTTGGCGTCTGCGCCGCCCGGGAGCGAGGAGGTTTTGCAGTGCGGGCGTTCAGGTGAGACAGGAGCCACGCAGAGAAACAAGGGGCTGGATGTCTCAGGGATTAAATCACATCCAGAGCTGCCTCGTCTGCCCTGCCAGCATCTCTTCAATCATTTCCCACTGCCAAAAAGTGCCCAAAAAGTCCCCAAATCCCGGGGAGTGCTGCGGATTTCCCTCTCCTTGTGAGGATTTCGGGAGGGAGACGTCGCCACACTTCCTAACATCTCCCTCTTTTTCTTTTCCCTGGCAGTGCAAGAAGAAGCACACCCTGGTTTGCCCGGACTTCGCCAAGAAGGGCGTCTGCCCCAAGGGCGCCCGCTGCAAGCTGCTGCACCCGCAGAAGAAACGTCAACCCCGAGGGGACAGCGCTGATCCCCCCTCCAAGTGCCAGTGGCTCTGCGAGGAGACGGGCAGGTAGGAATTGAGCAGAAGGTTTGGGGATACGTCCGTGTCCTCTGGGGTTTCTGCAGCCCTTCTTCTTGGAGATGGAGGAGCTTTGGTGGTGAATCCACTGCAGAAAACCCATCCGACAGAACGGGGGGCAAGAGGAGGGCTGGGGTGGTGCTAATTCCTCGCAGCCCGTGGGCAGGTCTCGCCCTACCCATCACCGTCACTGTCACCTGCTTTAAGCACACCAAAAATTAAAACCCAGCTGAAACGTGGGTTTTTAAAGCCCCCCAACCTGTCTAAAAGTCCTGGTTGGCAGGAGGAGGAAAGAGCAGCTTGCCTGCTTCGCCCCTCCGCAGCAGGATGGGGTGGATTTAGGATGGCACGGGGGGACCCTACAAGATTCCCCCCACCACGGTGCCGGCCAGGTCCTGGTCCCCATCCCAGCCCTGCCTTGTATGGTCGAGGAGGGGACGAGCTCTCAGCAGGCTCTGGACTTCTCCCGGGTGACAGAAGAGCCTTGGAATGACACCCAGCTCACGTCCCCCGTGTGAATGAGGTGTAAAATAGCTCCTTGCTCTTTTTAGGTAAGGAGGCATGAGCGCGGGGCATCCTGCGCCCGTTCCCAGCCCCGGGTCGGTTCCTGGCATATCCTGCACGGGGAAGGGAGCACGCCCCTGGCCAGCTCGAAGAGTTTGAAAGCTGCCCGGGAGGTTTTTCCTTTATTAGCACCGTCACCAGAGATGTCAAAGCAAGCCTGACTGTCACGTTAGCTGGGCTCGCAAGAAATCAGAGACAAGAGGCAGCCTGGGATGGAGCCCGAGGATCCTCCGCGTACCCAGCGGTTCTCCTCGGCTTCTTCCCGTGCACGCGATGCTGAGTGCTTTATTTTTCATTATTAATCTTCACATTTTGCCAGGAACCACCCAGCTCAGCCCTGCGATGACGGGGAAGTGCCCGGCCCCTCCGGCGCGGAGCAGGACGTGAAGTTTTGGAAAGACGCGGACGCCTCGCAAAGCAGCCGGCTCCAAAAATTGCCCTCCTTCATCTCCCTCCTGTCCTCCGCCTCCCCCGGGGACGAGGGCTGCAAAGTGGAGAGGGACGAGGACGAGCCAGGGGACGAGCCAGGTAGGAAGCTCTGCACTGGTTTTGCTCCTCAGTGCCCCGGTTCATTGAGTGGCTTTTCCCGTGTGTTTTTATGGGATCGGTGGGTTTTATGAGTCCCCAAACCAGTTTACTGGGAGCCCAAAATCACACCATAGGATTTTGTCCCCACCTTTTATCTTCGGTGGCTTCCTCCTTACCCTATAAATTACCCACTGACTGGATCCAGTCTTGTTCCCATAACCCCAGCAGACCCAGGTAGGAGGGAGGGGGTCTCAGAGGGGTGCGGTGATGCCTTGCCCTACTGCTGGACCCACAAAAGGCTGTGGTCTCCGGACCTCCACGAAAAAAATCAGTTTTAGGATGAGCAAAACTTGGTAAGCTTGACAGCAAGCAGCTCCTGCCTTGACATTTTTAATTTTGGGTAAAACTCGGGGAAACGTTTCAGCTGGTTGACCTGACTGTGAAAAAAATAAAAAAAGCAGGAGGGAATCGGTGAAGCAGGAGCCAAAGGAAAGGAAAGCAGGGAAGGAGTTGCAGATGTCTGTAAAAGGATCTGATGAGGAAGCAGTTTCCCTGCCAGGGGGATGCAGCCATCGTGCGCCATCGGTCCGGGAGCAGGTTTGATCCTGGTCATCCCAGGAGGGCGCAGGATGAGGCTGCTGGTGGTCCTAAAGGATCTAAACGATTCACCGTGCCCAAATCACCTACAAAGCCAGGAGTGAGGGTATATTTGGGTCGGTTAGGATGGGTCCTCACATGGCTCCGGGTGTCTGCGATGAGGTTTTGGGATCCGTGCCCTCCCCAAGGGGCGGCTCTGCCCGTAACGGGGGGCGCGGCGCTAATATTGAGTTCCTGCTTGCAGACCCTGAGGGTGACACGCAAATTGGTGGGGTAGGAAATCAGGAGGAGGACAGGTGGTTATTACGGAGTGATCCGAATGGCTTGGTTAAACGCTCACGATTTCAGAAAATGCCCTTTGAATACCGGAAAATAGGGGAGGAAAGGAGGAAAGGCGCGTGCAGGAGGGAAGGTGCCGGTGGGGCAGGTGTTTGGGGATGACTTTTAGGGTCCAGCTTTTTAGGCTCACCGTGATCTTAACGGGGTCTCGGTGCACGTCCACAGCCTTGGGATGTATAAAAAGGGGATCGGAAAGGAGAGAGGAGGTGCTGAGCTCGATGCTGTCCTCACGTGGGGACAGACCCACCGTGAGTCCCCAAATGGAGACCCCGGTGCCTGGGATGAGCTCCTGGGCATCTCTCGGTGCCTCCCCATCCTTCGTCACGTTTCGTTCTCGGGGCAGAGGCAGGAGGGAGCGCAAGCATCGTGCAGGTAATGGGCTCCTCCATATTTCACCTCCCAGTTAAATAGCCTGCGCCGGAGCCTAACTGGCCTCCCCGCGCTAATTGTCAGCGAGCGCACCAATGCAAACCATTCCAATCGAGTGCTAATTTAATTAGAAAGCACCCATTTTAGTTAATTTGTTCGAGAAGATCACGGAAAACTCCTGGAGAGAACAGATGTTCCCCTCTCCCCCGATGAACATTCAGGGGTTTGTAAATGGCTCCACTCAGCCTTGTTTAGGAGAGAAAAGAGGATTTTATAGCTGCAAACGACCCTTTCTGTAAACATTTTACAGCTCTCTGCACGTTTGAGTGACGATAAACCCCTAGCAACTCGGCGGGCTGCAAATTTGCGACCATACGGCTATCATTTTATTGTCATATTTCACGGTCGTAACGTTAATGGAAGATGCTCGCTACAGTCTTTTTTAACGGCTCCGCTGAGCACGCTCAAAAACGCTTTGGCTTCGGAGGAATTCATCGAGGTGCGGCGCTTCCAGTTTTGTTTACAGCTTTCACTTCTGGAGGAATCACTCGGAGAACACAAATCCTCGCCGCCGCCCTCCCTGCCCGAACCCGCGCCGTGCTCGCTGCCGCTGGGGCTGATCCCGATCCCGTTTCGCCCTGCTGCGACCCCACGGGGCTGGACCCCGGTGTGAACATCTCCTGCTCCCAGCCCACATTTGGGGCTGGTTCCCCCATGCAAATCCTGGTGGTGGGATGCCTTGTGGAGGGTCTCCACCACCTGCAGCATCATCTTCAACGCTGCTCCTGCTGTTTGCCCCAAATCTCTGCGTTTTTGACGGCAGATGAGAGCCAGCCCTTTGGGTTGACGTGGCAAAAAATGCCCCGAAACCCTACAGAAAGCATCTTTGGGGCTGGTGATGGAAGGCTCGGGTGCGAGGGGGGTGTCCCAGGTTGCCAGCGTCCTGCCAGCGTTGACCCCAGCAGGACCAAGTCGTTTGATCCCCTTGTAGGGTCTGGTTATCCATTATCATGGATAAAATACCAGGAACTGTCTTTTTAGCGTTGTCCCAAGCATCTCCTCGTGGTCCAACCCTCTTGGTGGCCTCCACTCGCTCCAGTACGTCCCCATCTTTCTGTACTGGGGACCCTGAGGGCTCCAGGTAGATTTCAAAGAGGTTTTTACAGCGCCAGCAAAACCCCGAAAAGCGCCTCCACCCAGGGTCTGGCTCCTCCTGCAGCTACCGAAGGCAGCAATTATTTGAGGGCAGGTAGTTGAAGAACGCAATTCCCCGTTAACCTGCGCTTCTTCGGCCAAAAAATAAACAAATAACCAGTTCTTTGGCCAAAAAAAAAAATGACCAAAAAAAAAACAACCAGTTTTCTCTCTTCCATCCCAGTTACCTCCAGGATTTTTCTGGGGATCTGAGTCCTGGCTGGTGGCGGCGCAGAGATTTTGGCTCTCCTGGTGAGGGTCATTGCCCCTTTTTGGAAGGACCTTGGCCATGGGGAAGTGATGAGGCAGTGGCCGTACATCTGGTCTGCTTCTGTGGCTTCTTCTTTGGTTGGGGCCACCTCCGTGGTCTCTTCTTTGGGTGGGATCATCTCCCAAAACGGGCTCTGCCTCTCCTGCTAACAACTCCCCAAATCTTTGGGCAATAACTCCCCAAATCTTTGCTCTACCCCTGCTTAGGGGCGAGAAACTCAACGAGAAACTCAAACCAGTGGATCATCTAATAGGGGACATGGGATGGAGAACAGTGAGTTGGCTCAGGACACCTCATGGACACCAAAGCACGCACCTGGCGTGGTCCTCCACCAGTTTGGGAGAGGTGAGGAGACCAATGGAGAGCCAAGGAGAGGTTTTGACCCCACGGAATGGCTCACCTCCTTTCTTTGGGGTCTTCTGCTCCGGTAGGATAACTTAAGAGGGTCTGGATGGCGAGCTGAGCATGAGCAGGAGAACCCACCTTCCTTCCTTCTGCTGCTTATCTCGTGGTTATCATCCAGCAAGGCTCAGGGGGAGCTCAGACCTTCGTGGGACCTTCCTGGATCTTCTCTTGGCACTTAGCAGATCTCCCCCGTGACGGTGAGCGGCGCGATGCTGCTGCGCACACCCGGTTCTCCTGCTCCTCACCAGCCCCAGGTTGATGCACGCCCCGTCGGGCGGGCAGTTTAATTAGAGAGCCTCCAAATTCTTTCATAACTGAATTAACAAACCTCTAACCTAATTGCTTGCCTCATGCCAAATGGATCGAGCTGCAGGTAGCGAGCTTTCCCGGTAACGTGCCGGCTCTCCTCGGGTCCTTAGCAATCCCATCTCCTCCTCCCGAACCAGCAGGTGCTGGGTTTGGGGACCCAAAACCACTGAGGGTTTGGGGGCTGCTTGAGGGTGGTCCCCGCATCAGGAGAGCCTTGGGTTGTTCTCCTCCATCCTGTTTTATCCGGGTGCTGGTTTCAGGAGTCCGTCTCCTGGTCCTGGGTGCTCCCAGCCTGGACAGACAGCTGAGATGGAAGGTCCAAGAGTTAAGAAACTCCACTGATGTTTATTTAATTCCCTTCTTGCAAAGCGGCCAATTTATTCGAAACTTCCAGTAAAGCTGATGAGCGCCGTGACTTTTTTCTAATTGGGCTCTCCGTCTGAATCAGAATCGCCCTTTCTCATCCCACACTTGAAAAAAAAAAAACCCTTTCTGATTCACTCCCTGCCCGCACCTCGCTGCCTGCACGTTTCCAATCCTCTTTCCTTATCGATTGATCGGCAGGCGAGGTTCAGACCTGCCAAGTCTCTCTTGTTTTCCGGGACTGAAATCTGCTCTTTCCATATTAATTTTCTACCCGTTTTTTAGGGTCTCATCCTCCTGGGACTGAGGGTCTGGAGACCAGGGCTTTCAGACTTTGCTTAGGATTTCTGAAGACCCTTCTCGTTCGGGCTGCCACTTGGAACCCCTGTCATGCCCCTCCTGAATTATTTAATGACCCGAAAGCTGGAGATGGAAGAACCCTTGACGATGATGAGATGATGAAATCCCATCTCCTTCAGCTTGGCAGGAAAGGGCAGATGTTCACCATACCCAACCGTACCCAAACCACCAGATGATTCCTCATCATTGTGGTGCCCGTGACCTACCAAAACTCCTCCAGCACTGCTGTAGCTCGTGTCTGGTTCACAAACCTTACATTTCAAAGCTTGGGTCCCCTTTGGGGATGGAGGATTTAGGGTCTCAGCCTGCTCTCCGCACCGAAATGCTGCTGGTTTTTCGGGTGCACCTCTCTGCGTGAAGTGCTCCTGCCCGACGCAATAATTTCTTCCCTCCTCCACACTTTCGCTGCATGCAGAGGCACGGAAAATCACTCTCTGTGTTTTGTAGGGGTTGGGAGGCAGCCCTGGTGTTGTCTTTGAGGATAAAAACTTGATATTAGGTGGCAGGAGAGGGCCCCCTCCTGCCCAGGCACCTTCTAGCTAAATTAAAAACGTGAGGAGGAGTGGAGAAAGTTGGAGAGTGCTGCAGATGCCCCTTGGGAAACCATCAAAACCCCCCAGCAAGCTGCTTTTTTCCATCTGAAAACCCGTTTCTTGGAAATTCTGGGGCTTAGCCCTTTGCTGCCGGCCTTTCTATCCCTGCTTTTGTCCTTGGGCTTTGCAAAAAAAGGAAAAAAAAAAAAAAAAAAAAGGCCTCCCTCAGCCCAAGTTCCTCCGGAGCTGACTCAGCGGCAGGAAAAAAACTGCTCCGGAGGCAGCTTCAGCCTCCGGGCTCCCCTCAAAAAAAAAAGAAAAAGCAGAAAAAGGGTATTTATCCTGGAAGAGTGAAAAAAATACACGTGGGATTTGGGGGAGAAAGGCAGGAATTTCTCCACCTGGGCCGTGCATGGGCAGGGAGGTGCCGGGATGCGCCGCGGCACCCCGAGCATCCCCTTCGCTCCCCGCCGCTCCCGTCTGAGTATCTGGGAGGCTGACGAAGCGCGGCTCTCCTGCTAATTGCAGCCCTCTCGTTAGCCTGGTCTCGGAGAGGAGGCATCCCTACACCAGCCAGCTTTCTGGCGAGGTTTTGATTGGAGGAATTTGGAAAATCGTTAGCGAGCTTTTGCCGTGCTCTCCATCTTCCCCGCATCCCATCGCTTCGGGATTTGGGCACCTTCCAGCGGCTGCACGGTCCCCGTGGATGCAGGACACCTCCTGGCACCATCCTTTACCCCAGCTGCTTCCCAGCCTCACAAATCGGGGGAAAAAAAACATTTTTCAGCACTCAACATCGAGCAGGGAGGGGATTTGGGGACGGAGAGCAAAGCCACCTCCTTTTGTCCCCCGTCCCGGGGGATTCCCCGCTGGCAGCGTCCCTTCAAATCCCCTAAAACTCCCCCGTCCCATTCTCCCCCTTCCCTCGGCATCTGGCTGAAGCGGATTTTGTCTCACTTGGTGGGTGCAGCTGGAGCCGCTCAGCGAGGATGCGTCTGGGGGAAGGCCGGGTTTTATTGAAAAATCTAATGGTGCCACCTGAAGCGTGATTTACTGCCGTGTCCACTCCTCGGACTCGATAATATATTTCTATTAGATTTCCTCCTTTCACTCCCTTCTCCCGGCGAAGAGTGGCAAGTTTCTCCGTCTGCCTGACACCTTCTTCGGCTTAGGCAAAATAAATGTTGATTTTCATCAGAAGTAAGAGCGCTGGAAGTCCTAATTCTCCGGCGAGGCTGACAAGCTCAGCAAAAGCGCCTCGGCTCCGCGCGGAGGGCTCGTGCTCCAGCCCCGCGCCTCTCCTCGGGAGCGCTTCAATCATCGTAATGAAAAAGGGGCTTCTTAGCCCGGCTTTCGCTAACTAGAAATGATATACCTGGGTTCCTGGAAGATGGATTGTGTCGCTCCCGAAACGCAGGGGGGGGGTGGAAGGGAGGGAGGGAGAGAAGGGAGGGAAGGAGCGGAAGGCGCGCGAGATGCGCCCCGAGATTGATCGCGCCATTTGCAGGATCCGCCGTGCGCAGAGGCAGAAAATGGAGTTGGGTTTGTGGGGCCGACGGCGTGGCGAGGTCCCCCCCGGCCCCTTTCCACGGGCAGCATCTCCTCTACCTAAAATCGGAGGTGAGAAACCGGCCCCGATTCACCTGGCTGCCCTTTTTACAACCCACCCTGGTATTTTATTCCGTCACCGCCGCCGCGTCTTGCCACCCTCGTGGTGATTTTTTGGAGGAAGACTTTAAAAACCAGAGCTCAGCGCCATGAATAGGATAGAACAGAATTCTATAATTGTGGGATTTTAGGAAAATCAGAGCTCGGCTCTGTGCAACCTCATACAGGAGACGGGGAGTTAATTGTGGTCGATGTAGGAATCAGCTTCGGGTTTGTTTCTTTTCTTTTTTTTCTTCCTCTCCCCCCAAAGAAATCTCGATTTCTCCTTCCGTAACAATATTTGCTTTGAATTGCAGAGCGTGGGCTCTCGTGCCGCTTGTAGGAAAACGAGCTAAGGAAGTTTCTTCGGGGGAATTGAGCCGTTTGTAGGGTTCCCCTCGCACTGGGGCTGCAATCCTCGCGGGGCAGCGATGGGGAGATGCTGGTCATCCCCTATCAGGCTGCTTGGGCAGCAGCCCCGCTCCTCTGCTACCATTTCCCATGGGATTATAGTGTCCATATCCCCAATTTTAGGGTTTCTGGGGTCACCTGGAAAATCGGCAGAGCCCTGAGAGGCTCGGCGGGGTGCGGGTGGCTCGCGCCGCCGCTCCTCGAACCGCATTAGGGTGACTGATGGCCGCGGCCGTCGCGGCTGCTCTGCAGCCCTCTGATGTATGGGTGTTATATTAAGGGTGGAAAGGTGCTAAATGAGCCCTCTTTATTTTACATAAATTAGCTCCGGAGCCATGTATCACTGCCACGGCGCCCGGCAAGTTTGGTTACCCAAGTTTCGAAGGGAAGAAGAGCTCGGCCGACGTGACCCGACGCTTCCCCGCCGTGGGGACGTGGTGCTCGTGGGCTTCCCGGTGCTCGGATTGGCTTGGGGACACCCCTTTTGTAGGATTTCTGCAACGGGGGTGCTTTGGATGGCCAAAGAGATTAACAGGGGTCAAACCAAACCCCGTTGTGTGCTGCTTATTCTCCAGTTTTATGACCAAAACGCTTGGATGAGGTTTGGGCTGGGTCCTCTCCGTCTCCTCCTCTCTGCTCTCCTCCTCCTAAAATCCCAAATGAGAAGGGACTTCTCCGGGTGGAGAACTTGGTGAAGTTTGGGCTCTGTAGGGGCATCTGGGACCCTTTTATAGGGGCAGCGGGCAGGGTTTGCTTTCCTCCTCTCCCATCCCGCGTTGCTCCTTTGCTTCCAGCTGTTCCTCGCATCTGGCGGGCACCCAAAAAAGCGTTTTTTTCCCCTGCTTTTTCCAAGGGCTGGATGGGAAACGGCGCCGGGGGGACCCAGCCCCCGGGGGACTCCCTCTGGGAGCAGGGCAGCAGCTGGAAGCCGAGAGCGGAAAGTCCCCGTGAAAACCAAAGCGGGCGTAAATCCCCCCCGGGGGAGGAAGCTTCGCCTTCTCCACCTCCTCCCCGCTCTGAAACACCAAAAAATCCTCGCCCAGAGCACCTGGAGGGGGGATGCTCGGGGTGGCTGAGCTTTCACCCCCCCAAAAAAAATCTCAGCGTCCTCGGGACGGGGCCTGGCTGCCAGAAGCAGCGCCGTTCCCAAGCGAATTCCCAAATCCTCCTGGCCTCGAGGCACCAGAATTGGGATTTGCCACGGCCTCGTCACCTCCAGGTGGCAAAAACCCATCGGCTCTGCACCCCCCCAACCCCCCTGGGTGGGTTTTGGTTCTCATTTTGCCCTCTGCTGCCTCGGATTTGGTGATGGGCGGCTCGGATGCGTGCTCTGGGTGCCTGGGCAGGTTGTGACACCCACCTTATGCTGCAATGTGAAGATTTAACCTTTTTTTTCCCCATAACTTCAGGATTTTGCAACCGATTCAGTATTGTGGTGGGGAAGGGACCTGCGCACATCATCCCTTGCTGGGGGCTGAGGATGCTCGGAGGGGTTTGGGGAAGCTGCAAGCTCCATCCCAGCCACCACAAAACATCTGGCGGGGAAACACGGCCCCAAGAGAGGGGACAAATCCCCACCAGGAGGCTGGGGACATTTTTGGGGAGCACAACCAGGCTGAGCACCACGGGGGGACACTCGTGTCCTCGAGGCTGGGCTGGCAGGGCCGTGGTGGAGCAGAAAATCCTCGCCGGAGCCAATTTCGGCTGCGCTCTCAGTTTCGGGGGCACGGGCACCTTTGAGGGAGGGGAGGTGGATGACATTCTCCCGATTTCTCCCTTTTTTTTTTTCCTCCCAGCTGGCACCAAGTGGAAAAGGACCTTGTTGAGGGCGGCCTCGCGGGACCCCGAAAACGCCTCTCAGGAGGAAGGTGGTGGCAGAGGTGAGCTTATCCCCCTCCGGAGGTGGAGCACGAAGCCAGGGCGCCGTGGGACGCCTTCCACCTTTTTTTTTCTTTCTTTCCTCCTTCCAGGCAAAAAACTGCAGATCAAGCCCCGGCTGTGAGCGTTGTCCCCGCGGCAGCCGACCAGCTCAGGAAAAGCCAAAACCAGGCTTCATCGCCTGGCACCTACCTCAGGACCCCGTGCCGGGACGTGGCACCCCCTTTTTTGCGTTGAGTTTTGGGATGTGGTTTGGCCAGGGAGCCCGGCAGCGGCGCGGAGGGAGCGGCGCCCAGTCCGTGTGGCTCAGGGAGGTGGTTTTGTTGAAGCTGTTTGGTTTTTTATTATTTTATTTTCCCAATAAATTCTCTTTTAAGGTGGTTTATTTAAGGCTGAAGGGCACGCGGGCGCTGCTCGGATGCGGGACCCGAGCGCCCTGCGGTCGTCCACGGCCACGTGCCCGCCTCCAGGTTTGGGACAACGAGCCTGATGGTCTCAAGTCATCGTGGTGAGATGTAGCAGGGCGTAAAGCCCCCGCCTGGCTCGGCTTTCCCAAAATCACAGCCCACCTGCATCCATCCTGCTCCGTCCCTTCTCTTTAGGAGTGTTTGGAGCGGAGCCACGTGCCAGGCATCACCGTGGGCCAATTCCCTCGCAGCACGCCCGTCCCAGCGGGGTTTTTGCTCATTTGGAAGACCCCAACCAGCTCTTTTTGGGGTCTTTGGGAATCCGGACGGGAGCAAAGCAAACCTCCAGGCTGGTAGGAAATAACCCCGGGACCGCAGCTGCTCCGCGCATCGTGGGCGCATCCTAAATGTCGAGCCGTGGTCCCTGCTGCGGTGTGGATCTAATATCTCACGGCGTGGGTGTGATGAGCTGTGCAAATCTCAGCTCCTCGCGGCCGCTTGCTGGCCAGCCAGTGCTGTGGGGCTTTTTTTTTGCATCCGCGGGTTCAATTTCAGCCCCAAATTCAGTTTGCTTTCGGCCTCTCGGGTGCGATTTTGAGGACGGGGGGGCAGGATTTGCCCACCCGCTGTCCCGAAACAGCAGCCCCAGGGGGCAAACTCGATCTAGGAGCCCTTTGGGGAAGAGGCAGAGCTGCACAAAGCAGGGCTGCGTGCCCCGTGGGGACATTTTCCTGGCTCTGCCTGCCCGTGCCAAAATATTTGTGCACCGAACCCCTTTTTGCTCGCTCCCCACGTGCGCAGCACCCTTCACCCTGCTGCTGGCAGAGCTCGGCCGTTTTCTTTACACCCCTGAGCCCCTCCTCGGCGTTTCCAACCCGGAGCCAGCTCCAGCAGACACGGGGGGGTGAGCTCAGGGGGTGCTCGGTGTCCCCAGGGAGCTGGCACCCAGCTGGGCTCGGCCGTGGGGTGGGCGACGAAGCCACCGCGCCGCAGCGGGCTCAGCTGCAACCGCGGCTCCGGCGAGGCTGACGGCTGCGTTTTCACCCCCTCCACGATCCCAAAGGGGGGGGTTCACATCCCCGAACGAGCTGGGTGAGTGCACCCCACGGACATGGGGTTGTTGTTACCCCGTCCATACCCTGCCTGGTTCCTTTTTGGGGTCATGGGATTTATGGCACGCAGAGCCCCCCCCCCCCCTCCCCAAATCCCGGTCATGTTTCGCCCCAAGTGCCTGGCGCACAGCTCGGGGCATGGCAGGCCACCGAGGGCCCTATTAATTAATTAATGCCTGTCACCTCCCTGGGTTCCTCGTTATGGGCAGCCAGGGGGTTTAATGCCACGTGGAGGCGAGCTGGGGGTGGCCGTGTCCCCAGCATCCCCCCCCCGGTGTCCCCCCTCCTCGGTGCGGCGGGCAGCGCACGGCGTGTGTACGGAGCTCTCCTCGCCCCGAGCTGTTTTTAATAAAGATGTCATCCCCCCCCCTCTCCCCCCCACCTCGTTACCTCCATGTCTTTTATTAACCTGTGCGTTTTGATATTTAAATAAAGGAGTTCCTGCCTCGAAAACAGCGCTCGTCTTTCAGTGGAGTCTCGTGGTGGTGGTGGGGGGGGGTGAAACGGGCACAAATCCCCCTCCTGGCAGAGGGGCTGCACCCCCAAAACCCAAATCTTCCAGCGTTTGGTTTTTAAATTGGCTGAAAAAACCTCCAGGAGGGGTTGGCCAGGGAAAGGTGTTTTAATTTTTCCCGTTTTCTAAAAAAAAAAAGGCATTTTTTACATGTGCCCGGTGATGCTTTCCGGCGTCGAGTCAAAAACCTAAATTCACCCAAAATCACCCGGGAGGAGACGGCGAAGTCCCCGGGGGTGGCCGGCGAGGGGTGACAGTGGCCGAGGAGCTTTGGCAGCTCCGGTACCATCCCCAGCCCAGGGGCACGAGGCTGCAGCCCCCGTTACCGAGCAGGCTAACGAGGATTAAAGCTCGCACCAAAATAATTAAGGCTCCGAAATCCCCGGCTCTGCCGCCCACCGGCGCATTCCCGGGGAATATTTTAATTTATTGCCAGCTGCTGCGGGGTGATTGATTTCCGAAAAGGGATAAACGCAGCCCCCGGAGGGGTGTCACCGAGCCCTGGTGGGTTTTTTGCCCCCTCAAAGCAGCCCCGATGGCTTGGCGATGGGCACAGGGTGGCCAAAGGTGCCGCGCGAGCCCCACAAGGGACAAATCCCAGGGGACAGCAGCTCCTTGGCAGCGGAGGGGGCCCCGGGGGGGGGACACACACGCACGCACGGGGCTGTGTTTTTGCAGGGCACACCGTAAACATTTCCTGGAAATCCCTCCCGTGTGGGCCAGGGCTGCTGGCACAGCTCTTGGTCCCCTGCCGGGGAAGCAGGTGCCGGGGAAGCGTCGCCCTCGGGGTGGCCGTCCCCTTAGTCCCATCCCAAAGGTGGGGGGCACAACTCTGGGCAATTTTATCCCCCACCGGGACAAAGTTGACACTAAGGGATCATTTTTAATCCTCCCTAGGGGCTGGAGCCAAGCGAGGGGACGAGCACCGAGACGGTGCCACCAGCCCTACAGTGGGGCACCCCGCGTTACCCCAATGGGGACAGCCACCCCGTTGTCCCCACGATGGCCACCCAGGGCCACCAGCCAGCACCCCCACACTCTGGTTTCACACCCAGGGAAACCGAGGCAGCACCCGTATGGGATCGAGGCACCCGGCCCCGCTCCGAGGGTTAAAGGATCGCCCGAGCTGCCCGCTCTAAAAGCACGGGGTGACGCCACCCCGCTGCCATCCCATAGCCTCCAACCTGGTTATGTCACTCGACCGCCCGCGAGTAAACTTAGATGACCGAGCTGCTCGGCGTGGCGGGGAGGGACGGGGGACGGGGACATGCCACGGGGCCCTCGGCCGCCCCACTGTACCCGGCCGCCCCGCTAAAAATACCCCCCAAAGAGGGCAAGCGACGACGGCCCCGCTTGGAGCCCGGCCCGGCCCTAATCCCTCCGTGGCTCTTGGCCACCGTGGGCGGCTGCTGCTAACGTGGTGGCCCCTGCGGGAAGGGAGCCCAAAATTTTGGGTGCCCCGAGGGTGTCCCAAGGGTGCCACGGGGCCGTGGTGGCACGGCAGTGGGGTGGTGGCACCCACGGGGTCCCCACATCCTACAGGCGCCGCCTTTGGGGTCACAACTGGGCTGCAAAATCTGCTTATAATTTTTTTTTGGGGTGTTTTTCCCCTTTTTGGGAGTTTAAGGTAGAGGGGCACGTGCATGGTTTCATTCCCTGCGTTTTCCAAGCTGGAGGAGCAGCATTTTTATTTCTTTATTTTTATTTTTTTGCTACAAAATGGAGAAAAAGTGGTTAAAATCCCCCCACAAAAATAAATAAATAATTTTATTTATTTTTTTATTTTTTTTTTTGTACTCCCTGGCTCAGTTTGCTTCGGGTTTTCCCCCAGATTTTCCCTCTCCAGCCTCACCTCTGCCTGTAACCGTGTCCCCCTCCTGGGGTTGGGACAAAGCCTCCACGCCCCCCCCCCCTGTTTTATTTTGGTAGAAGGAGGATGGGGAAGGGGACGAAAAGCACCCAGCCCCCCCCCGATTTTATTTATCCCTGCTGTTTCAGGATAAAGGGTTTTTCCTCCTTCTTCCTTCTCCCTTTCCCTAGAAAAAAAAAAAAAAAAGGAAAAAAAAAAAAAGAAAAAAAAAGAAAAAAAAAAAAGAGAAAAAAAAGAGAAAAAAAAAGGAAAAAAAAAAAAGGAAAAAAAAAAAGGAAAAAAAAAAGAAAAAAAAGAAAAAACCCTTTTTGCATGAATACAGCCCAAAACAGTCCTTGCTTCTAACCGGGCAGGGCCCTATCCCAAAGGGACCGAGTGGGTATCAGGGTGCTGGGGGCACGAGGATGGAGGGGACCCCATGGGATGGAGCCTTGGGGTCAGGCTGGGCTGGTTGGGAGCTGGCGGCCCCGTGCCTCAGTTTCCCCAGTCCCCTGGTTGTGGGGAGCCCCGGAGACCCCCATCCCTCACCCCACAGCCCCCGTTCCCACCCTGACCCCAAACCCTGCAGCCCCCCCGTCCTTCCCCAAGCGGCCTCGTCCCCTCCGTGCTGCAGCCTCGGCAGCCACGAGGTGGCAGGGCTCGGAGCCTCGGGGCCGCATCCAGCCCAGGACCACGGCCTGTAGGGTGCTCAGCACCCCGGCACCCCGATACCCCGGCACCCCAACACCCCAAAACCCCAGCACCCCAATACCTTGACACCCCGACACCCCAAAACCCCAATACATCGGCACCCCGACACTCCAGAACCCCAATACCCCGACACCCCAGCACCCCAACACGCCAGTACCCCAATACCCTAACACCCCGGTACCCCGACACCCCAGCACCCCAATACCCCGACACCCCAATACCCTAATACCCTGACACCCTGACACCCCAAAACCCCAACACCCCACTACGCCGACACCCCAGCACCCCAATACCTCAACACCCCAATACCTCAACACCTCAACACCTTGACTCCCCAACACCCCAATACATCGACACCCCAACTCCCCAACACTCCAGCACCCCAATACCTCGACACCCCAGCACCCTAATACCCCAACACCTGGGTACCCCAGTACTCTGACACCCCAGTACCCCAACACCCCAATACCTCAACACCCCAGTACCCCAACACCCTGACACCCCAACACCTCAGTACCCCAACACCTCGACACCCCAGCACCCCAACACCCCAGTACCCCAGTACCCCAACACCCAAGCACCCCAACACCCTGACACCCCGGTACCCCAATACCCCAACACCCTGACACCCCAACACCCCAGCACCCCAGAACCCTGACACCGCAGTACCCTGACACCCCAATACCCCAACACCTCAGTACCCCAACACCCTGACACCCCAGTACCCTGACATCCTAACACCCCAACACCCCAGTACCCTGACACCCCAATACCCCAGCACCCCAACACCCCAGTACCCTGACACCCTGACACCCCAATACCCCAGCATCCTAACACCCTGACACCCCAACACCTCAGTACCCCAACACCCCAGTACCCCAATACCCTAACATCCCAACACCCCAATACCACAGTACCCTGACACCCCAACACCCCAACACCCCAATGGGGGGATCCCATAACCCACATGTCCCTTTCCCCCGTTGCCCTATCCTAAGGTGCCGTCCCACCTCAGAGCTGCGTTTTGCTGCGTTTCACCTGGATTTTACCGTTTTCCCCCCAATTTGATGGCCTCGAGCTGCCTCGTGCGAAATTCCCACCCATGAGGCGGCCCCAAAAATGGGTCCGGCACCTGCTGGGGGAACCCAAAGGCACTGGGGGCGCCTCCAGCAGGTGCCGGTGGTCCCCGGGCACTAAGAGTTTATAGGAATTGATTAAAAAAAAAAGTGAAAAAAGCAAAAAAAGGGATCGGGGAGGTTTGGGAAGGGTGCTGGGTGCTCGCAGGGCTGGGAAAAGTGGGGTGGGGAAGGGGCTGCGCCCAGCTTTGGGGCCTGGTACCCACTGGGATGGGGTGGGATGGGGTGGGAGGTGGTGGCCCTATAGGGAGAGGTGTCCCGGAGGCGGGCGCGCGATTTGGGGTGAATAACCCCAATTTTGGGGTTTTCCTGTCCTTTTTGGAGGAGGGAGCGGTTTATTTCAGTAAAAATCTGATAATCGCTGCTCTCACCGAGCTGCGGGGCTGCAGCCCCGTGATGGGACCGGGGTGGGGGGGGTGTCCCCAAAAGGGTCCCCAAAGGGAAGGGGGGTCCCCAATTTCCAGCGCCGCGCTGATTGACAGCCGGCCCGGGGGCGTTGCCATGGGGATATGCTAATGAGCCCGCGCATCCTCCTCGCTGATTGGCTGCGGGGGCTCAGGCCACGCCCCGAGGGGGCGTTCCCAAGCCCCTCTCCCCGTATATAAGGCGGCGGCTCCATTCCGCGCCCGGCAGTGGCAGCGCCGAGCACCGGGGGGGCGGCCCCGGGAGCTTCGCCTCCGGGGGTCTGGGGGAGGGTGGGGGGAAAAAAGGAGGAGGAAGAGGAGGAGGAAAAGGGGCAGAGGAAGGCTCGCAGCAGCCCCGGGGGTGGGGCCGGGGCAGGTGCCAGGGGCTGCAGAAAGGGGGAGGGCAGGACCCTGCCTGCTCCTCGCTATTGGGCTCCGGCCGGAGGCTGGAGAGCGGCCGGTCCCGCACCGCCGGGGCTCCCGTTATCAGGGGACCCCCCCCGGAGGCCAAGCTCCAGAGGAGGAAGAAGAGGAGGAGGAGGAAGAAGAGAGGAGAGCCGTCGGAAGAGGCTCCCGGAGGCCGGCTGAAGGCAGCAGCAACCCAGCCTCGCCGGAGGTTCCCGGAGCGGCGACCTCGGAGGCAGCCGGCGGAGGACGAAAAGCCTCGGAGGAGGCTGCCGGAGCCCGGTTGAAAGCAGCGGGGGAGCCCCGAGGAGTCCCCCCCGAGGCCGGCCTCAGCTCGGAGGGGCTGCCCGCCCGGCCTCAGCTCGGAGGCTGCCGGCGGAGCCCAGCCTCGCCGGGGGCTCCTTTCTCTCTGCCTCCACTTCGGAGCCTCCACCGTCGGATCCCAGCCTCGTCGGGGGCTCCCCTCTCTCTCCGTCCCTTCTCCGGAGCCTCCTCATCCTCGCCGGAGGCTTCCCGATCCCTCCCGTCGGCCTCCCCCGTCGGAGGGAGGCCGCCGAGCCCCGCGCCGAGCGGTGGTGCCACGGAGGAGGAGGAAGAAGAAGAAGAAGAAAAAAAAGAGGAGGAGGAGGAGGACAGCACCCTTCGGCCTCCCTCCATGGACTGAGATGGCCTCGGAGCTGGCCATGAGCGGCGAGCTGCCCACCAGCCCCCTCGCCATCGAGTACGTCAACGACTTCGACCTGATGAAGTTCGAGGTGAAGAAGGAGCCGGCGGAGGCCGAGAGGCTGTGCCACCGCCTGCCCGCCGGCTCTCTGTCCTCCACCCCTCTCAGCACCCCTTGCTCCTCCGTGCCTTCCTCGCCCAGCTTCTGCGCCCCTAGCCCCGGGGGGCAACCCGCAGCCGGTCCCCCCGCCGCCTCTTTGGGCTCCAAACCCCAGCTGGAGGAGCTCTACTGGATGTCGGGCTACCAGCACCACCTCAACCCCGAAGCTCTCAACCTGACCCCCGAGGACGCGGTGGAGGCGCTGATCGGCGCCCCCCACCACCACCAGCACCACCACCACCCGCCGCAGGGCTACGAGGCTTTCCGCCCCCCAGCTTTCGGCGGCGAGGAGCTGGCGCCGGGCTCCCACCACCACCACCATCACCACCACCACCACCACCACCTGCGGCTGGAGGAGCGTTTTTCCGACGACCAGCTGGTGAGCATGTCGGTGCGGGAGCTCAACCGGCAGCTGCGGGGTTTCAGCAAGGAGGAGGTGATCCGCCTCAAGCAGAAGAGGAGGACCTTGAAGAACCGAGGCTACGCTCAGTCCTGCCGCTACAAGCGGGTCCAGCAGCGGCACATCCTGGAGAACGAGAAGTGCCAGCTCCAGGGCCAGGTGGAGCAGCTCAAGCAGGAGGTGGCCCGCTTGGCCAAGGAGAGGGATCTGTACAAAGAGAAGTACGAGAAGCTGGCGGCCCGGGGGTTCCCCCGGGAGCCATCCCCGGCAGCCGCCCCCAAAGCCGCCGCCGACTTCTTCATGTGAGCCCGGCCCCTTTGGGGAGGGGGGGGTTTGGGATTGGGGAGGGGGGGGAAAAAGGTGGGTGGCTCGGGGGTTTTGGGGAGCATCCCCCCATCCCCCCCAGCTCGGCTTGAACCGAAATCCTAGTTTTCTTTCGGAAATACGGGGAGGGGGAGCTGGAAATGGAGTGTCCCCCCCCCCCCTCCATACCCGCTGGGGGGGCGGCGGACCTGGAGCAGCCTGCATGCGGGACGTGTAGGGCGCGCCCCCCCGGCAGCGCCAGCGCCAGCCCGGTGGCTTCTTCCCCCCCCTTCCCCTTCAGCCCTGCGTGCTTAACACCCCCCTCCCAGACCTCTCCCCAAATTATCATTATTTTCGGGGTGCCCCCACGGATCTGCCCGGGGGGGCCCCGGCAGCGCTGCGCCCTGCCCGCACCCCGCGCCGCCCTCCCGGCCGGCGAACCTGAACCCCCCCCCCCTCAACCCCTCTCCCCTTCCTTTAACTTATTCACCCCTGTACATATGTAGAAATTAGTTAGTTTTCTGCCTTTTTTTTTTTTTTTTTTTCTGAGCCTATATTTTGCTTGGTGATTTACGGGGAAAAAAAAAAAAACGACAAAAATCCTTTAAAAAAAAAAAAAACACGAGTCTTAAAGTTTGTATGTAATAGCATGCAAATAATATCCGAGTTAATTTAATGATGTTGGGAAGAAGCCGAATGCACTATATACAGGAATCAATTGGGTTAAATAATACTGTTGTTTTATAGAGATTTAAAATTATCTATGCTCTTAAAAAAATAAAAATAGTGGGGGCGGGGGGGGGGAGAGGTAACAATTTTAGGGTGACCTGAAAGGCAATATAGTAATATATGGACTGCAAACGGTTGGCTGCTATCTCACTATGCACCAGATTTATTTATTAACCCTCGGGAAACGAAATATTATTTTAACCTCGGTGTCGAAGGAAGGAAAGGAAAATGCACATTATTTCTTGCGCAAAAAGAGGAGGAAGAAAAAAAAAAAAAGAATTCGTGCAATTGTGCTTGAAGCGAAAGCGGGGTCGATCCTGCACGGAGGAGCGGGATGTTTTTTTTATAAAAAAAACAAGTTGCTTATTTAAAAAAGAAAAACCACAAAAAAATAATAATCTTGGGGGGTAAAAAAAAAAAAGAAAAAACACAAGGGTTTTGTGGACAAAGCGAGCTTTGGAGCCTGGTGCATTTTAGGTACTGATCGTGCGAAGCGTTTTTAACGACCTGTTGTTTCGATTTGTGACGGTTTTAACGATGTTGCATCAAGATAAAAACTTATATTCAACTAGAGCCTGGGTCGGCTTTTCTCTCAAGCGGGGACCCCCGCAGCCTCGCCTTTCGTTTTGGGATTTCCTTCCTCTTTCCCATTTAGCCCGGTACCGATGCGAACCCTCCCGGGGCGTGGGGGGCTCGGGGAGGGCAAACCCCACGTTCCCCCTGCTCTGCTTTTTGCTTTTCACTTTTCCTGCCTCTCTTTTCCAGCCGGGAACCCACCTTTTCCCCGGCCGATGGGTTCTGGGCTCCCCGGAGACCTCCGTCCCCGTGGCCGCCGAAAAGTCACCTTCGCCCCAGCCCGGGGACTGCGGATCCCGTTGGACCCCAGGCTGCCCGACAGCGAGCCGCTGGCTTGATTTTAAACGGTAATAAAAGGCTTTTTTTTTTTTAATTCCCCCCTTTTTGGCTGCTCCCTTCTGAGTTTTGTAATTAAAGGAGAGGGGAAAACTAACAACAAGAAACCAACCCTTTCCCTTCTTCATTTTTTTGCAAATGTTTTGGGGTTGGCCGGGGAATGCGCGTTCCCGGCGGCTCTGTGCCGCGCTGCTGGAGAGCCCGGGCACAGCCGTGGCCACTTGCTCCCTGCTTTTCCCCGGCTGTTTGCGACAAAACCCATGCTCTGAAGTACTTCTGAACTTTTTTGTAGGTATATTTTTCATATTTTTCCCCTTATTTTTGCCCCAGGGGCTGCGGCAAGGTTCCTCCTGGCTCCCTCTGTAAATCCGCTTCCCGGGGTGGAGAAGCCCCGTGGCGCTGATGCAGCCCCCCTGGGGCCCCTCTGTCCTGCTTTCCCTGGCCTCTTCGGGCTTTTTTGGGACCAGAGGTGTTGTTTTTTATTTAGGATTTTTCTTGGGGGAACAGCTCAGCTGCTCTGGGTCAGGCTTACTGAGTTTTTGGGATGGGAGCTGGGACACACGGAGGGATCCGCGGTCCCGCGCCTGATGCGCCAGGGCTGGGCTGAAAGCTCTGGGGGGAGGACTGTGGGGTTGCCCACCCCTTTTTCTTATTTTTATTTCGAGCCTGGGAAGTTTTTTCATCCCCACCCCTGCATCTGCATCCAGCCCTGCTGCCCTGCTCGGCTTCCATCGGGGCATCGCTTCCTCTCCTCGCTATTTTTTGGGGTGGCTCGCGGCTCCCCGGTGGGGTTTAACCCATTTCTCTGCACCACCTCTTCCTCCCGGTGTTCCCCCCATACCCTCCCCTCCTTGGCACCTTTCTGAGAGTGTTCCCAGCCATCCTTTTTGTGACTAAATAAGGAGAATTTGGGAGGAGAGGAAGGGGTTTGGGGCCAGCGGTTCCCCACACCGCAGTTGCGCTCGGGGCTGTGTTTGTGCCCCTGGTCCCGGTCACCCTGCTCTGTCCTTGCTCCTGCCCATCCTTCTCCGCTGTCCCCATCACATCTGTGGGGTTTACGATGCCCCAGCTCTGGTTTTGGGGGAGCTCTGTCCCATGGGGTCTTGTCCCGGGGTCTGCTGCGATGCTCTGCAAACCCCGGGACAGCTGCAAGCGGCTCCTGCCCCCGATGCCTTTCCCTGCCCATTCAGTGCAGTGCGGGCAGCAGTTTGGGGCTGAGCACTCCTGTTTTGTTTTTTTTTTTTTCCTGTTTTTTTTTTTTTAACCAACTCCTTTGTTTTTTGGGAGCAGATCCGTTCCTACATGCCCCATCAGCCCATTTTGGCGATCGCAGCATCACCCGCTCCCCTTCATCCCTGACCCTCAGGGCATTTCCCCGACCCATTCTCCTTCCACTACTGTGATTTATTTTTTATTTCACAACCCCTGCTCCCCTCCCACCCCCATTTAAGTTCTTCCAGCGCCTCCTGGAAATCCCCTAAGCAGGGGAAAAGCACCCTGGAAAAGGGTACAGGGTGTTACAGCCTTGTATCAACAGTGGGGACCTGGTCCCCAAGCCACTTTCCTACGTGGGGGATCACGACAGCCCCTGGGGACATTTAGGGGCAGAGTCACTCCTCTTCTTTGCTCATCTCCTGTCCCCTTGCAGCATTGGGGTGCAGGGGGCAGGGACCCCAAGTGTCCCCATCACCCCGACTTGCTCCTGGCACTGCCCCAGCCTTGTAGCTGCTACTGGCAAACAAATAACAAAAAGTAAAGGGGTTCATCCCCAAAAGGGAATTACTTTCTGAATTATTTTCTTGCTGGGGACAGGACTGAACCCCACCTTGCATCGTGCACTGGGGAGAGAGGGGTCCAGGCAATACCTGCTGGTACTTTGGGGTGTTTGGGGTGCAGGATCATGGCTTGTGCAGCACATTGGGGCTGTGTGCGCACTGGCAGTGTGTTGTGAGTGCTTGGGGCACATGTTTTGGGATGGAGGTGTGGGGGACCACACGGTTGCAGCGTGTCATGGGAGTGTGCATGAATTTTGGGTTGCTCTGTCCCAGTTTTCAGATTTTTCTGCCCATATCACAGCCCTGGAGTGGGGCAACCACTTCTCTTTAACCCCTTTGGGGTCTGTGTGGGGCTGTAGGACCCGGGGCTGTTCCTAAAACACTTCTCGGCTTCATCCTCACCGCTGGCTCGAGCGGCCACGGGCATTGCAGGGCTGGGAAATAACCGCAGCCTTCTCCTCCAGCTGGCCCACAGATGGGTTTTGCACCACTCTCCCTGCAGGCAGAAGGGTAATTTTGGGGGATGCAGCTCCCAAAAGCTGCAGTACCCCGGGGTTCCTCACCCAACCTCCCAGCACCAAGCGGCTTTCCGCAGAGGGGGCAGAACGAACACCGCACCGGGCCGCTCGATGCGGCATCGCCGGAGCACCCCTGGCTCATCCCTCGTCAATTATTGATGCTCACACTCGGCAGGTTTGCCACCGAGCTGCTGCAGTGTGCTCTGCACAAGCCCCGACATCTTGGTAACATGAGCCCCTGCTACGGCCCTGGGATATTCGGTCGTGGCCGGGAGGCTCCTCGGCGCGAATTTGGGGCCGCACGAGCTGGAAAAGTGTGAATTGGCCAAATTTCTTGCAAAAATAAACCCCCGGTGAAAGGAAAGCCCTGGTGGGTTCAGTGCTGGTCTCAGGGCTGGTAGGGCGAGCCGTCCCTGCTGTGGGTTGGAGCGGATATTTTTTGGCTCGGGGTGGGTTTTAGGTTCTGGCTCGGCTGCCGTTTGCCGTTCTCCACGCTCTTGGCTCCTTCCTCGGGGCTCCCCTGTCCCCGGGAGCCAAACCCTGCCCTGCTCCCCATAGAAAAATACACCTATAGGTACAGATCACGCTGGAAAAACACAGCTAACCTCCTTCCAACAGCTCATGGGCTCGTTCACTCTGGCATTTGCCCAGCTCGTCCTTGTGGCTGGGATTTACTCCGAGCTCATCGCTTTTGCACCGACATTGCTGGGATCCTCCCGGCTGGATGCCATGCAAGAAATCCCCGTGCACCGTGAACAGGAACACAGCTGGGTTGTGATCCCCCAAAATCCTAGTAATTCTGGGTGTTCTGAGCTCTCACAATTTTTTTTTAAGGCTCTGAGCTTGCGGAGCACTGGCGCAGGGAGCTGGGTTTGTGGTCCTGCAGCATCCAACCTCAGGGCATGATCAGCTCTGGGCCCTGGAAATAATAAAAAAAATTCCCCCACATGGCTGGACTGAGAGTGTTAATGGGGAAAGGGCACGGTGGGGGGGCTGCTTCTGTGGGAGGGGGGCATGGGGTGGGATTTGGGGGAGGTGGGAGGCAGGATATGGGATATAGGATGCAGGATATGGAATGTGGCACGCAGGAGGTGGGAGGTTGGATGGAAGATATGGGGCAGGTTATGGGACATTGGATGTGGGATGTCACATAGAGCATGCAGAGTGTTGGAAGTGGGATGGCAAATATGGGACTTGGGATATAGCATATGGGGTGGGGGATGTGGGATTTGGGGTATGGGATGCTTTCCTCTAGCAGCCCCCTTGGTGGTTTGAGTGGTACCCATGTCTCTGCCATGGCACCATGTGTCAGCTGTGGCTGATGCTGTGCTGGGAGGAAGGAGCCGTGCTGGACCATGAATGAAGAGAGAAGATTTTGGATGCTGGAGCACAAGGAGAGAAGATTTCGGGTGCTGGAGCCTGGCACTTCCCTAACAGGACAGGCTCCAGCAAGGGACGCGGTGCCAGTTGTCACCACCACAGCAAGTCGCTCCTGGCACGTTTATTAACAATTTTTGGGAGCTATTACTCCTTATTTCCCATCGCTCCAGGTAGGATTTATAGGATAAACTGATGTGTATCTACGTGAAATAGGATTCCCATGTACACCAAAACCCTCTGTGGTGTCACCAGCCCCAGCGCCTTGTCCCCCACATGCCCCATGCTCCTCACCCAAGCTCCCCAATTAACTCATCAGCTCGTTGCCTAATTACACACCTGGAGGAATCCAGAGGCTTCGTGGGTTTTCCCTCCCCCTTTTTCCCTTCCTGGGGAGGGGGGCAGCTCGAGCATCCCCCTCCCCAACCCCAGCGCCAGGTTATTTATTCATGTAACAGGCCGGGGTTGGCGCGCAGCTCGGCGCAGCCCTGGCAGCTGTCTGCTCCCTGGGAGCGCGAGCTGTAATTTGCACAAGCAAAAATAAACTAATTGTTATTTTCCATTTACATACGGGGAAGGGAGAAGAGGTGGGGGGAGGTGGCTGGGGGGGGGAGCCTCGCGCCTCCAGCCTCTCCTAGGGGGGCGTGCGCTGGGGGCTCTGCTGCCCTCCTGTCCTCACGGACCTCATCCTGCCTGCTCAGGGGTGATGCTGGTGGCCTCAGGGGGTGGTAGCTACGGATTTGGGGGGCTGGACCATCATCTTCCTCGCCGCAGGGACAGGGGATGCTGGTTTTCCCTGGTGGTGAGGTGCGAAGCCCATCTTGGTGCCGGCACAGCCTGGTGGGGGAGGATGGATTAAGGCAAGTTCTGCTGGTGCCAGGCCACTTTCAGGAGCTGTGGTGTATTTTTTGGGATGGTTTTGCTTTGGCTGTGGTGTGTACAGGTCACAAAGCAGAGCCTGGCTAATGCCAGCCAGCAGAGACACAGCAGT